GCACAACTTAAGAACAAATCTGTGCATACGAACGGTTCTTGCATGAGGCCCAATGGCTTTGTTTTATTTACTAAAGTTTCGTTACTCCAGGAACTGCGAGCTGAGGGACTTTTTTTTTCGTCCCAAGTTCAGCGAGCTGCTACTGTCTCAACACATCGGTGCTGATCTCTCCAGCTAGAACATAAACTGCAGACTGTCAATTTCAGCCAATAAGGCTCCTGTTAGTCTGTGTCGGGTTCATGAAACCGTCATGTGAAAAAAGTATTCTCTGCCGATTGGTTGCTGCTGCGCGGTGAGCAGCCAAAGTTCAATTTGTTGAACTTTAGCTGCCGCTGCTTTGCCGCTGCTGCATGTGCGGAAAAATGCTCTGCCGCATGTTGCGCGATGCTCTCAACTGGCAAAACACGCTGCTACATGCTGCGCTGCTCCTAGAAGCTCGTCCACCATTGACTTGCATGTAATCTGGCTGCTTTGGTTGCTCCAAACGCGTTTGGTGTGCGGCTTGAGACAGAATCTAGCAGAACACTGAGACAGAATCAACAAGAACATTGATTAACATAATATCTAAAAGGAGATTTCCAGCCCATTAGATAAGACAACACTTCTGAAAACTGCACTTACTGTTCTAAAACGAATATCACTTGAGGTTTCATGTGTAAAAGCACAGGTATATGTTTTGTTTCAAAGTATTTGCATTATTTGTATTGTCTGTTGTTTATTCTGTAGGACACTGCGGTCGCTCTTAAAGCTCTGGCTCAATACACCCATCACTTCAGTTCAAAGGCTTCAGGCTTGGTCACAGTGTTATCTTCTACTGAGCACCTGGCATTTCATGTGAATTCAGAGAACAAACAAGTCTACCAAGAACGGATGCTGCAGGACCTGAAAGGAAAGTACTGGATAAAGGCAGAGGGCTATGCATGTACTTCAGTGCAGGTCAGTGACAGCAACCACGTGGTGTTTTATAATGAATAACCTCTGACTATTTAAAATATTTAAAATAAATTGTAGTTTACAATTTTGTTTAATAATGTTCTGACTTTTTTATTTAACATTTTTATATATGTGACCAAATTTATTAGATATTAGAGATCTTTATTAATATTTTCTTATTTTATTGTCTGTCAAACTTCTTTTCTTTGTTTGTCAGGTTTCTCTTCACTACAACATTCCAGCTCTTACTGTTGTTGAAAGTCCTTTCAGAGTGGAAGTGGAGGTAGTGTTCTATAACCATTGTCACAAACAACTCATCATGCTGAAGCTGAAGTCTCTGTAAGTAATCAACAAGAAAGTTACCAGACAAAAACAAGTGGTTTTTTTTTCACATATATTTTATATTGTCATTTATTGCTGGGAACACTCAATAAATTTCCATCTCCATGTTAAGTTGAATTATAGCTATGGCTTGTTTAGGCATTTAGATTAGGCCACTGTTCTTGTCTCAGTATGCAGTCATTAATGGGGAATTTATTGTTCAGCTTTTGAAACTGTTGCTATAATTTTATTCAGACCAAACATTGTAGTAGTTTAGCTAATACATTTTCAAACTACATACAAACATTAACTGTTACCTCTTTAGTCAAAACTGTTCTTCTTACAGTAAACATACCAGTCTCTACTCCTATTGTGATTTAGAATAGTTACTGTTAAAAACAAATGGGAGATTCGAGGATTGCATTCAAATAATTTTTATACATCTCAGTGACCTAACATTTAAACCTAAACTCAAAGGTTGGCAGCCCTGATTACTGCAAAATCTATACGAAGATAGACTGTGCTTAGAACAAGCAAGTAGCATGTTTTTCTTGTGTCATTAAAGATACCAAGGAGACAGTAGCTGTACAAACATGGTGATCCTTGATATTGCATTGCCTTCTGGATTTTGTCCTGTTCCAGAGTCTTTGTGGAATGTGAGTAAATAGTGTTTGATCTAAATGGAAATGTTGTATAAAATTGTGTATTCATAAGAGTAAGATGGTAGTCAAGATGAATATCTTCTCCTTACAGCTCAGAAGTGGTGTGCTGGTGAAAAACGTTGAATATAAGGATGGTCATGTTATTTTATACTTATGGGAGGTGAGATGAATCAGAATTATGATGCTTTTTGACAATATTACTATTTGTTAATCTGAGATTTGTTGTGTTGTTCTCAGTTGCATAAAGACATATCTGTGTACCACGAGTTACAACTGGCTCTTGAGGATGTGGTACTGCAACTGAAGCCATCCACAGTCATCATCTATGATTACTACAATCCAAGTAAGTCTCTACACACAGCACAGAACTCACCAACATTCTTTTCTAACTGTTAACAGACCACCAGATAAAGTACTTGTGAACTGATTGATACTGAATGTATTAAACAAAGTTTATTTTTTTATTTACAGGTAATCAGGGCTTGACAGAATACCTTGCACGTCCTTCCAACTGTACAGACAGCAGTTGCCACATTACAGATCAAATTGATCCAACTCTGCACACTATTTTTAATCTTAACAAAAAAATATATAGTCGTCTTGGCCACCACCGCCACCACAACTACAACAAACACCACCATGAACACCAACATGACAAGTATGATCACAAAGACCAGTATGATCTCCAACATGACCATGATTACAAAGACCAGCATGATCACCAACACCACCATGAACACCAACATGACAAGTATGATCACCAACATGACCATGATTACAAAGACCAGCATGATCACCAACACCACCATGAACACCTACATGAAAAGTATGATCACCAACATGACCATGATCACAAAGACCAGCATGATCACCAACACCACCATGAACACCAACATGACAAGTATGATCACCACCATGACCATGATTACAAAGACCAGCATGATCACCAACACCACCATGACCAGCAACATGACAAGTATGATCACCAACATGACCATGATTTCAAAGACCAGCATGATCACAAACACCGCCATGACCAACAACATAAGTTTGATCACAAAGACCAGTATGATCACATCAATGACCATGATTACAAAGACCAGCATGATCACCAACACCACCATGAACACCAACATGACAAGTATGATCACCAACAGCACCATGACCAACAACACAAGTATGATTACAAAGACCAGTATGATCACCAATATGACCATGATTACAAAGACCAGCATGATCACCAACACCACCATGAACACCAA